GTAAAGATCAATGCGTATTAAATGAAGCACAATGATCAATGAATTACATAAGAAAAATACCAGAATTTGGGGTTTCAAGATAACTAATTTGTCTCTTAGTTGATGGTAAAAGATTGTTCTGGTGAATATTGGAGATAATAATGCTTCAAATATTGATGGAGATGCTGACATCCGCTGTTTATAGTCCTCTCAAGTTTATGAACATGAAGTGGAAAGTTAATTCATGAAATGTCATACTTATACATGTTTTTGTATATACTTCATTTTTGTAACAGATATGAATGTGTATGTGTAGGTAGTACTATTATTCCATTTCGGATAAGTATTTCACATTACATATATTAGTCGGTAAATGTCACGAACGGCCACAATAATGTCACATGACAAAATCCTATTAGTTTCATATGCACGGTGCAACTTACTAAAGTTTGCCACGTGGCAATTGCACATGTACCACATACACAATTAGTTGTGCATTAAGTGTGTGTGTGCAGTTAGCTTAGCTGCATTAATCCTGTGAAATATTTGAAACTAATATTAACTCATTAATTTTTAAAATACAAATATATATTTTTTTCCATACAAAATTTCCTTATTATGATATTTTATTACAATTCTTAGGCAAATATCCTTAAAAACCTACGCAATTTCAATATTGTCCATGGAACTCATTGAAACTTTCTACCAGCCTCAATTCCTCCACGTGTACGATATTCCCATATGCTAATAATTATAAAGACTTATATGCCCGGACATTATAATAGAGTTGCATGTCGAAGAAAAATATGATTCACTTGGTAGATGAGATTTTTTTTTTTTACTCGGAAATATGGTGGAAAAGTGAATTTTTTGGAAATGTTACCAAAAAGTTATTTGGTAGGCCAAAATATTCCTTGGAATATTAGGTCAAATTTCTTGATGATATGTTTGGTTGATTGAAAAATATTAGTTGGAATGTATGGTAATTTTATAAAAGTAACCTTTATTAAAATAAAAATAAAAATATAGAGATCGTTTACCACAAGCAACGATTTCCAGACTTGATCAAAAATAATTCCAATAGCAATCTTCTTCACGTTTTTATCTTCTCCTTCTTCTTCAGTTTGTGGTTGTTGCCCACTCTCAACCTTCTCCTCCTTCTTCTCTGATATAAATGGGATAGAACAGAATCAAGAGGAAAACGAGGCCCAAGATGAATATGCTAGCTACCAGCCCAGTCCAAAGTGTAGAAGGTCTAAGAGAAATAAGGTGAAGCCCAAGTGGATGAGGGGCTATCTAATGCAGTGAAGCAGTGAACCAGTGAACCATAGCTAGGAGTAAGACATATGTTAGGTGTGAGTGTGAAGATATTTTGTATTGCTGATTTGTATTATGTTAGGAGGTGTGTGGGTGTGAAGAGTGATGTATGAGTTTTTTGCATTCTGTTATTTTATTGTTGGTAGGAGGTCTGTATAAAAAAGGGTTGTTTAATCAATGAGAAGTAAGAAAATTCTGGAAATTCACCCTTGTGGTTGAACGGAGGAACCTCCCCTCGAAGTGAGGCTAGTTTTTCTTTCCTTTTTCTTATCAAATCGGTGCCTTCATTGAGTTTTTCCCTCCATGGCTAGCCACAATCATTCATCTGATTCCTTAAAATCAACTTTCTCCAAGCTTTTGCAGACACAATTGGCCCCCCAGAAAGACATGCAATCTATGACCTAAAAGGTCACTTCGCTTGAATCCTAAGTTACATCACCTACTCGTACCACCAACGCTTCATCTTCAGGCCCTGTCAACTCGGTGATTTTTACTGAAATCAAGGCTGCAACCATTAAATTAGATGTTCCACGGTTTGATGGTTCGGATCCCCTTGGCTGGATTTTTAAGATTTCTCAATTTTTTGAATTCTATAGTACGCCAGAAGAACAACGACCTCACATCGCTTCATTTTATATGGAGGGAGAAGCCTTGAGCTGGTAACAATGGATGCATGCCAGTGGCCAGATCACCTCGTGGCCCATTCTTTTACCAGCTTTGGAGTTACGTTTTGCTCCATCTCAATATGATGATCCCAAAGGAGATTTGATGAAACTTCTACAAACAGGCTCTGTGCATGAGTATGAGACTCTTTTTGAGGCACTTGCCAATCGTTGTATTGGTTTGCCTTTACCTTATCTTCTGAGCTGTTTTATTTCAGGGTTAAAACCGGAGATCCGACGAGAGGTTCAATCTCTGCAACCTATCTCCCTTACCCAAGCCATTGGGTTAGCTCGTCTCCAAGAAGATAAGCTTGGCGATCTAAAGGGTTCTTTTCGTGGACGAATTTTTGGGGGTTATCAAACTTCATCCACAGTAAGCGACAGGAGTCCAGTCCTCTCCACTACCGTGTCCACCGCTTCGAAATCACCAAATCTTAATTCTGATTCGAAGGGTTGTTCTAAAACTACATTTCGAAAAATGTCACCTGATGCACTCCAAGCTCGCAGAGACAAAGGGTTGTGTTACACCTATGATGAGAAATATCACTAAGGCCATAGGTGTAAACGCCTATTTATGATCCTCATCGCGTCACCGGAGAAGGACACACCGATTGACATCTACCAGCTGTTGATGGAAGAGTCTAGTGATGGGGACGCAAACGTTTCATCTCCACAAATTGGACCAGATACAGAAGCGGCCCAAATAAGTTTCCACGTACTAATGGGCCATTCCATTCCTCAGACACTACGAGTTCAGGGCCGTATAGGTAAGTCTCAGTTGTCTTTGCTGATTGATAGTGGGAGTACCCACAATTTTATCTAGGAGCTAATTGCAAAGTTTTTGGGCCTTAAGGTGCAGCCAGCCCAAGGATTTCAGGTCCTAGTAGGAAATGGTGAGGAGTTAGTGTGTAACTCAAATTTTCAGCAAGTCTAGTTAATTGTTGGTGATCATTTATTCATTGTTGACTTGTATATTTTTCCCATTTCTGGGGCTGAGGTTGTGTTGGGGTCCAGTGGCTCAAAACCTTGGGCCCAATCCTCACTGATTATGATAGTTTAACAATGAAGTTTGTTAAAAATGGTTATGCGGTCCAACTAAATGGGACTGCTGCAGTGGAGGCCCACGAGATATCAGCAGCCTAGATGTGCAGGATGACTTCGCCCCAGCCTACCGCTGCCCTATACCAGCTACAAGCCTCTCCCCTGATGACGTCACCATCAACGTCAATGTTTGTACCCCAGAGGTGGACAAATTACTACTTCGATTTGTAGAGCTCTTTGAAAACCCCACTTAGTTGCCTCCATCAAGGGTTACCGACCACCATATTCCTTTACTTTAGGGTGCCAATCCAGTTAGCGTCAGACCATATAGGTACCCATATTTCCAAAAGAAAGAAATCGAGAAACTTACTGCAAAAATGCTTACTTCTGGGATTATTTAGAATAGCAACAGTCCCTTCTCATCTCCGGTTCTTCTTGTTCGGAAAAAGGATGGATCTTGGCGGTTTTGTACGGACTATATAACATTGAATGATATCACTCAAAAGGACTGATTCCCTATTCCTTCCATTGATGATTTGATCGATGAGCTTCATAGTGCAACACACTTTTCCAAACTCGATCTCCGCTCCGGGTATCATCAAATCCGTATGGCGCCAGGTGATATTCCCAAAACTGCTTTTAGAACACACGAAGGTCATTTTGAATATCTAGTTATGCCTTTTGGTCTATGTAACGCCCCTGCTACGTTTCAATCTACCATGAACATGTTATTTAAACCTTACCTTCGACGATTTGTCATTGTTTTTTTGATGACATTTTGGTTTATAGTCAATCACTGGATGAGCATGTGCAACATTTGGAGGAGACATTCAGGTGCTTGTTGTGTAATCAGTTCTTCCTGAAGCAGTCAAAATGTACCTTCGCGCAAAGCACATTGGAATACTTGGGCCATATTATTTCAACCCAAGGGGTGGGACCTAATCTTGAAAAATTCGAGCTATGATGGCATGGCCACATCCTTGGAATATTAAACAATTAAGAGGGTTTTTAGGACTAACTGGTTTTTATCGCAAGTTCGTCAAAGGGTATGCATCACTGGCTGCACCCTTAATGGATATGCTCAAGAAGGACTCCTTTGTGTGGGGTGAAGCGGCGCAGGAAGCTTTTGAGAAATTAAAAATTGCCATGACTCAATCACCGGTTCTAGCTCTCCCTGATTTCACTACCCCATTTATATTGGAAACAAATGCTTTTGGAGCAGACATGGGAGTTGTCCTCTTGCAGAAGGGGTATCCTATTGGCTATTTTAGCAAGAAGTTTTGTGGGAGGATGCAAAAAGCTTCAACTTATGTTAGGGAGTTGCATGCGATTGTGGAGGCACTATTTGTTGGGGCGAAAGTTCACAATTCACACAGATCAAAGGAGCTTAAAAGAACTCATGACACAAGTCATTCAAACACCCGATCAACAATATTACCTCTCCAAATTCCTAGGCTATGATTATGACATAGTCTATAAACCAGGTCCAGAGAACAAGGTTGCAGATGCCTTGTCCCGTGTTCAGGAACCTAGTTCCCAACTCATGGCAATTACAGTTCCTCAATTTGATTTTATTGCTAAACTGAAAGAAGAATATGCTGTTGATACTGAGTTAAAGCGATTGCTACAGCAGCTAAATGATGATTCGTCTCTTAGTGGTGAATTTTCCTTGGCAGATGGTGTTATCATGTTTCGAGATCGCATTTACATAGGTGCTAATTCTCTTCTCAAAATAGTTTTATTAGAAGAATACCATTCTTCTCCTATTGGTGGAAACATGGGAATTGCTAAGTCTTTTAGCAGATTGAGTTCCAATTTTTTTGGCAGGGAATGAGGAAAGATGTAGCGCAATTTATTCAAAATTGCCTCATATGTCAGCAAGTTAAAACTCCTACTTCCAAGCCTTTGGGACTATTGCAACCGATTCTAATCCCATCCCAGGTGTGGGAGGATATTTCCATGGACTTTGTCATAAGACTGCCTTCTTTCCAAAATTATACTATGATTTTTGTGGTTGTAGACAAGCTTTCTAAAGCTTCTCATTTTGGAATGTTACCCACCAATTTTACAACTGCTAAGGCGGCTAATTTGTTTGCTCATATGGTTTGCCATCTACATGGAATGCCTAGGAGCATAATCTCTGATCGTGATACCATCTTCGTTAGTCATTTTTGGCAAGAGTTGTTCAGGTTGAGTGGAACAAAGTTGAGGATGCCTACTACTTATCATCCTCAAAGTGACGGACAAATATAGGTATTAAACCGAGTGCTACAGCAATACCTGCAAGCTCTTTGTCATGAGCAGCCAAAGCTTTAGGGTAAATACTTACATTGGGCAGAGTGGTGTTATAATACATCTCTTCATTCAGCTACAGGCTTGACCCTTTTCCAAGTGGTCTATAGGCGTGAACCACCTATAATTCCACAATATGTTATTGGCACTAGTAATGTGGAGGCTGTGGATTCTATCCTCAATTCAAGAGAGCAGATGTTGGAGATACTCTAAAAGAAACTTTTGAAAGAACAAAGAATTATGAAGGACGTGGCTGATAAAAAAGGCTTGATCCCTCCTTCAAATTGGGGGATTTTGTTTTGGTAAAGCTTCGACCTTACAGACAGAACACTGTGGCCAAATGCAATAGTCACAAACTGACTAAGAAGTACTATGGACCATTTAAAATCATCAAATGTATAGGTGAGGTAGCTTTCGAGTTAGAGCTTCCAACAAATTCTAAAATACATCCAGTCTTTAACGCTTCCCTTCTCAAACATTATCATGTTGAGGATGCTGCTCGATCCTTAGCATTACCTTCAAGGGAATTTCTCAACCAGCCAGTAATTCAACCTATGGCAATTCTGGATATGCAAGAAGCTGATAAACCAGAGCAAACGTGCGTGTTGATTCAATGGCAGGGGCTGTATCCAAAGGACTCATCCTGGGAACTATTGTCTGAGATGATGGAAGTTTACCCGGATCTGCACCTTAAGGACAAGGTGTTTGTTCAAGACCAGAGGGTGATATAAATGAGATAGAACAGAATCAAGAGGAGAACGAGGCCAAGATAAATATGCTAGCTACTAGCCCATTCCAAAGTGTAGGAGGTCTAAGAGAAATAAGGTGAAGCCCAAGTGGATGAGGGGCTATCTAATGCAGTGAAGCAGTGAACCATAGCTAGGAGTAAGACGTATGTTAGGTGTGAGTGTGAAGATATTTTGTATTGCTGATTTGTATTCTGTTAGGAGGTGTGTGGGTGTGAAGAGTGATGTATGAGCTTTTTGCATTCTGTTATTTTACTGTTGGTAGGAGGTCTGTATAAAAATGGGTGGTTTAATCAATGAGAAGTAAGAAAATTCTGGTAATTCACCCTTGTGGTTGAACGGAGGAACCTCCCCTCGAAGTAAGGCTAGTTTTTCTTTCCTTTTTCTTATCATTCTTCTCTTCCTCCTTTATTCTGCATCGCTATTCTCCTCTTCTCGATGCTCGGTCATACGAAGTTTTTTCCTCTTGTGGGATTGGGTGTACTGGCAGTAGCATTCTGCATTTCCAGTGTTTTTGGATTGGATTGGACATTGCCAGTGATCAATGGTAACATTACTAGTGTTCCAGATGAATCACATGTGATGATACCGAATGATATTGAAATTAGGGAGAATCTGAAGACTCTCATTGGTCCAATTGCAATACTGGACCGCAGTGAAAAGAGGCTAAGAAGCAAAGTAATTCCCATGTTAAAGATTCAGTGGGAAGGTCGTACACCTGAGGAGGCTACTTGGGAACAGGAGGATGAGATTCTCCGGCTGTATCCTGAGTTGGCGGAAAGGTATGACTTAATTTTGCGGACAAAATTTCAAAAAGGAGGGGTGAATATAACACCTCGTATTTTGTAAACGTATTATTAAATATGAAAATATGGTTTAAAGGGTAAGATTAGTGAAAATCTTGAAATTAGGGTCAAATTGCATAAGAGGGGTAAAATTGTAATTTACCAAACACGTAATCCTAGGAAAGGAAATTTGAGTAGGAAGACTCAAATGAGAAAAATAACATTGGAAATGGATTTCCTAACTAATGTAAAATTGGAGTTGATATTGATGACTTTGTGAAATAGCATGGTTGTAGGATGGTGTGATTAAGTTGTGGAGCATTGGTATGAAGTAATTATATGATTGTATGGTGTGTGTAAGGATTGAATTGAGTTGAAAAGCTTGTGAGATACTCCCTTGTGGAATTCGAACCATAGGGGAAGATAAGGAAAATGGTGTGAAAAATATGGTTGGATCAATGGTTGATGCTTTGGTACATAAGTGGTGGAATGGTGAGTTAGTTTGATGATTAAAATGGTTGAGCTAGTTGAAATAAATGAAAGATAATAATTAGGCCTGAGTGTTTAGGTTTGGGTAATATTATTGTGAAATTGATTGATTTCTTGCAATGGGTTGATGATCATTGTTATTTGATCGTTATAGGTTCCTTTTCACGGACTCGATAGAGGTTGACTAAGCTTGGAGCTTACATTGTGGAGCATTGCTTACGGAGTTGAGGTAAACTCTTAGTACTTGGGTTTTATCCCCTTGTGTGTTCCGCCACGCCTAGTGGAAGGTAGTGGTTGGATTGTTTGCTCTATGACATTGTGTGAAATTGTATGTTCATGCATTATTGCCATGATTGTGTGACATGCTTAGAGCCTGTTGTGTGAAATATCTGTGATCTCTGGCCAGTAGATGTGTGTGGTTTGGACTTCCTCTTTTAGGGGATTCCAGTTGGGTTTTGTCGTGGGGCCGACTCTGGGAGCGGCACCAGGATGATCCAAATGTGGGACTTCCGCTGGATAGGTCTTTTGAGGTGTTCCAGTTGGGTTTTGCCATGGGGTCATCTCATCCATGGGAGAGGCACCAAGAAGCTTCCCGGGAGTTATATGATGGGATCTTTGAACGGAATCTTTGTGTGGATGTTCTTGGATGTGAGCCTAGTGTGATGTGATTTTGTAAGTTATGCATTTTATATGATCATCATTGTATGCACATTGAGTGAGCCATGTGGTGGGGTGATCCACTAGTACCCTTGGTTTACTGAGATATATTTATATATCTCACCCCGCGTTTGGGGACATCATTTCAGGTTATAGTGAGCATGAAAGATCTTCGGGCAAGAGGCTCGCGTAGTGGAGGAGTTGGTCATGGTGTGCATATGGTGAGCATAGCATTTTGGAGTATTACATTTGATACACAACATAGTGTTTAGCATTTTGGGACTTAGGTTATGAACATATTGCATGTTGAAATTGCCATGCTTTTGTGGTGTTCATGACTAGATTCTAAGTCTATGTAGTTGATGTATATTTGTGCCTATTATTTACTTTGACCATTTGGTGAGCATAGGACTTTTCCATGTCCACACATTATGTTTTGAGGCATTTGGAGACTTAGTGTTGTAAATGAGCCATATGATGTGTAAATGGCAAAACAAATGGCGAATGTTGTTATTGATACATTATATAAAGATTATGCATGATTGTTATCAAAAAAAAAAAAAAAGATTATGCATGATGGAAGGGCCTAGAGCCTACATTAACACTTGTACAATTTGTAAATTTAGTATTAAGGTGTTAGGAGTAGAACACTTGGCCCATTTTGAAACGAAAAAGCTGTCATCCGTGATTTTTACAGTAAGGTAATCGATTACCTTCAGTATGTGGTAATCAATTACCTGAAACAGGGGGACGCAAAAAATTAAGCCACTGTGATCTAAGTAATCAATTACTTTTACATAGTTAATCGATTACCAAGTTCAGTAATCGATTACCTGTGGAGAGGTAATCGATTACCAAAAACAGGGGAGCCCGAATTAAGCTACTGTATGTTACTGTAGCTTTCGGTATTCGATTACCGCAAGAATGGTAATCGATTACCACTATGTAAATTTTGAAAATAAGTGATTTTATAACCTAGAGTTAATGGTATTACTTGGAGCGGTTATAATAAATAAGTTTTATGCTTCCGCGAGATTTGCATTTACAATAATGGTGTTATTTTTAATTGATTACAGAAATGATTAATGTTTAACGATAAGGATTTCATAAAACAAAAAGTTTACCCGAATTTAATTAACTCAATTACTGTGATTGTAACAGCGCTTAATACCATATGAAATGATAACATTACCGGTACGTAACGGGCTGTTACAATGGGTGATATAAATGAGATAGAACAATCAAGAGGAGAACGAGGCCCAAGATGAATATGCTAGCTACCAGACCAGTCCAAAGTGTAGGAGGTCTAAGAGAAATAAGGTGAAGCCCAAGTGGATGACGGGCTATCTAATGCAGTGAAGCAGTGAACCATAGCTATGAGTAAGACGTATGTTAGGTGTGAGTGTGAAGATATTTTGTATTGCTGATTTGCATTCTGTTAGGAGGTGCGTGGGTGTGAAGAGTGATGTATGAGATTTTTGCATTCTGTTATTTTACTGTTGGTAGGAGGTGTGTATAAAAAGGGGTTGTTTAATCAATGAGAAGTATGCAAATTCTGGAAATTCACCCGTGTGGTTGAACGGAGGAACTGGAAGTTCACTCAGTCTTACGAAGTCTTTTCCTCTTGTGGGATTGGGTGTACTGGAAGTAGCATTCTGCATTGCCAGTGTTTTTGGATTGGATTGGACATTTTGCATCGTCGTTCTCCTTTTGTACAATTCCAAAAAAAATTGGCTTAAATTTTTTTTCCCATTAATCGAATTTATTTTCGACGGTGTGAACGAGGAACTGTAACACCCCATATGCATCCGGTAATATTATCATTAATTATGATATTACGCGCAGCTATAATTACAACAGTTCATTTAAAAATACGTGAAAACATTTTCTTTTTAATGTCGTTCAAAAAATCCTTACGTTTATAACACATATGTATTAAACATTTTCCAAAATATGATCGCAACTCAAAATTATTGCGAAAATATAAATACTATTGCTTAACATCATACAACGTCTATTTAAAATTGTTAGGTGGTTTCCACAAACCAACAAAGAACAAATACACAATTTACAGTTTTACCAACTTAAGGTACACTCAATTTTACCAGAACTGCAGATGGACGACATGTTCATTGTTGAATCATAGGTCAAGAAGACTATGTTTATAAAGTTTTGATGATAACAAAATAACAACAAGTACCAATATAGCTAAACATGAAAGCTCTCAATGAAAAGCATGACAACAAGTTCTAAATGACACAAGAAACCTATAAAAAAAGTGCAAACATGAAGAGAAGACTCAAATATACAAAGTCAAAGCTCAAGCAAGTCAAATATTTCAAACTAAAAGGAGTACAAGAAAAATCAAACTATGAAGACAATGAAGGCTCAAGCTCTTACTGGTTATATAGAACATTAAGAGTCTTAGAACTTATTAGGATTGAGTTTATTGAGTTTTTTAACTTGGAAAATGCAAAAATAAACCTAAACTCATATAGGTGACACATATTCACTTTGATCATGCATACAATGCGCACACACATCAAGAGTTGTTATGCAAGTGTGAAACATGATCATACATATATTAGAAGTCACTTAGAATCATTTAGAAGTCATTGGAAATCATTAAGATGCATTAAATTTCAGAAAAAACCAGCATGAAAACTGATTTCTGCATAAAAGTAAAAGAATACTTTTGGCAAAGTAATAGAATACTTTTATGGGTAGAAAAGTAATCGAATACTTGATGAACATTAATCGAATATTTTCTGGGTTTGAAGAAGTATTCGAATACACCCCAAAAAGTAATCGAATATTTTCTGTTATTAATGACTTAAACTCGAATAAATTCAAATTTTTTTATGCCCAACGGCTATAAACAACTAATAACTCACTGGGCACCTATAAATACATATCATTAGGCTTCTGAACATAAGAATTAATGTAACAGCCCGTTGTACACCGGTATTGTTAACATTAATTATGATATTAAGTGCAGTTACAATCACAACAATTCATTTATAAAAATGCGAGTAAACTTTTTTCGTTTATTAC